GGTGGAAAGGAAGCGGGAAGAGGCAGCGAAGAGGGCAGGGGAGACGAGGACATCGCAGGCGGGCCACAGGCGCGCCGCCTTCTCGTGGCAGTGCTGCTGAAGCGTGCAGCATAGTGGGAGCAGGCAGGCAGCCGCTGTTGCTTCCGGCAGGACCCCACACGTGGCTCCAGCCAGCAAGCCGCCAGGGATCGGCTAGCCAGTGCGGCCAGCTGGCCGGCCGTCGAGGCCGAGGGCGACGCCGCGGGCGGGGCGGTGCAGCGCACCTGCGTGCCGCCGCCGTCGAGCTGCGGGAAGAAGGAGTTGCCGCCATCGTGCAGCTGCAGCTGCTCCAGCGCATTCTCGGGCTCGCCGTACAGCACGGTGGTGGACTGGCTCTTGCGCAGTCGCTGGAGCAGCAGTCGGCCTGCAGCAAGAGGAGGGAGGGAGGGGGAGGGGACCCACATCAGGGAAGGGAGAGGGCAGGAGGCGAGGCAGTGCAGCACGCGGCGGCACTGGAACAAGCAGCCGGCAGTGCGCAGCAGCAAGGAGGGCGGGTGGATGGCGGCAGGGAGCACGGCAGCAGCGGCGGCAGCAGCGCGGCAGGCAGCACGGTGGGAACCCGGCAGCGGCAGCAGGGTGCAGCAGGGGCAGGGGCGGGTGGATGGTGGGCGAGAAAGGCAGCAATGTACGCAAAGCATTGTCCAAGCAGAAGCCTGTGCGCTGGGCACTGCCAAGCCCAGGGCAGCAGCAGGCGGGCGGCAGAGGGGCCGGGCGGACCGCCCACACCAACTTGCCTACTCGGGACGCTGTCACCGAGGGCTCCACTGGCTCCCCTGGTGCCCCAGAAGCCGCACTGCTTTCGGCAAGGGCCAGAGCCTCGGCCCCCACGGCGCTGTTGGCGCGGGCCTCCCCCAGCGCCCCCGTCATGGGCCGGGACGTCAGCCCGCCGGGGCGAGCGCTCTAAATCTGTAACCTGTGACCCGGGAAGCAATCGCAGCGAGTGAGGCGTCACTGGGTGGCGAGCAGAGGGGACAAGCTCCGCAACACCTATGCTCGCACAGTGGGACGACGGGGGTGAAGCGGTGAGTGGCATAGCCCGTGTCGGGCCGCTAGAGCGAAGGATCGTCCGCAGCTGAAGTTTGCCAACCTGGCGACGGCACCGCCGCCGTCAGTGCGACACTGCTGAATCCAGTGCTTCTGAAGCCTCATTGAAACTACCAGAGTGACTGGATTAGGCCTCCCTAGAACGTTATGCAGCAGCAAGCCGCCGCCAGTGCTGCCGCTTGCAGCGAATTGAAGCAGCGACGCTCCCGCACGCGGGCATTCGTGAATATACACACGTGAGGATGACAATGCAGCTACATCTAGACTGGTCTGAACATTGGATACGGTTCAGGCAGCTGCATTGTAATGGAGCCTTCCCCAAGCTCTAGCTGCGGCAGCCCAACAGCGATCGCTGCTGGCGGCGGAGCCAAGCAGACGGCGGGTGGAGAGCGCGTCCTGCAGCGCTGTGTAGACAGCATGGATTACAGATCCGACCTGACAACCCCTCCCCTGATCGCCCAGCGCCTCTGTGTTGCCTATCAAGAGCCCGCTCGGCCGCCATCACCAGTGCTGCTCCTGAGAGCAGTAGCTGGCCTACAGCATGCCAAACAGCATGGTGCGCATGTGTCTGCGATGAGAGATGCCCTGAATTGCGCCGTCTCCATCAAAGCCAGGGTCATTGCCAGCTCGGCGCGCCGACTAGAGGGCGCCCCCCGCCCCGCTCCGCCTCTTTGGGAGGCCCTAGCTGGCGTCTGGATAGGTAGGCAGCGCCCGCCGAGCCGTCTGCTGCCCTCGCCGTTGCATCCCGCGCCTCACATGTGCCCCCGCACCGCCCCGCCCGCAGGGAAAGGCCAGCAGGATGCCGAACAACCAGATTTCCAGCATCCGCAAGTATAGGAAGAAGTGGCAGGACAAGGTGGTGACATGGTTCAACCAGCCAGCCCGCAAGGAGCGCCGGAGGGCGGGTGAGCATCTGACGATCCGTAGCAGGCCACCCGACCAGCGTGCAGCAGCGGCGGCGCAGCGGGGGAGGCGTGGCCGACTGAGCCGGGCTGCCTTGGGTGCAGCAGGGCGCCAGGGGGCTCCCCAGCGGACCGCAGGGCGGCCATCGGGGAGAGGATGGGTGCAGCGAGGCGGCATGGTGGGCATGCAGGCCAGCATGCTCCCTGCGGCGACGCTGGGTGGCGGATGCCGAGGCACAGCACCAGCAGGCGCAGTGCAGGGAGCGCCAGCGGGGTGCCCCATGCCAGCATGCAGCAGGCAGACCAGTGGCAGGGCCCAGGCTACCATTTAAGCTTTGGGCAGCCCGCGCCGCCATGTGCTGACCGCCGCGCCCGCTCTGTGTCGCCCGCGCGCCGTGCAGCTCGCGCTGAGAAGGCCACCCGCGTGGCGCCTCGCCCCGTGGCCGGCCTGCTGCGCCCCGTGGTGTCTGGCCAGGTGCGCCGCCGTCAGCTGCCGGCGGCGCCTCGACAGCATCCAGACCGCAGCAGACACAGCTGCAGGCTGCCCGGAGCGCGTCCCGGCACTGCGCGATATCCCCCTGCCGCGCCGCTTGGCGCATGCGTCACAGCCCTGCGCCGCACGACACGAACATGTACTGCCTGTACCGCTGGTCCTGTGCCGCAGACCGTCAAGTACAACACCAAGAAGCGCGCCGGCCGCGGCTTCACGCTGGAGGAGCTCAAGGTGGGCTGCCGCCCGCCTTGGAGCCTCTGTACAGCCACATGTACTGCTTTGTCCTTTCTTTTTGTGTTCCGTTAGGATGCGTTCATCGTTTAGGGCTCATTGCTTTAGCGGCGTGCGGCGGCTGCACTCGCTGCTGCTGCCTGCGGCACCAGAGGGTTGGGTCAGCAGGCAGCTGGACTCAGCTGCGGCCGCATTGTGGGCCGTTCCTTCTCATAAGAAGGAATACGGCCACTTGTCAGCGCTGTCAGTTGGAGCGGGGGAGTCGGTGCGAGCGGCAGAGTGGGAGCGATGTGGCGACCTGCTCGGCAGAACATGTGCTTGGGGGCGGAGAGGGCAGCGACCATGGTGCAGCAGGGTGGGCGGCGGCGGCCTGGAGATTGGGGGATGGCGGGGCGGCAATGGCGCGACAGCAGTGCAGGCGGCAGCGCAGCGCTGTCACGGCCAGCAGCAGGAGCCCTTTTCTGGCCCAGTGCGGATGCTGGCGCCGCCCTCCTAGCCTGGCAGCGCGCTCCGCAGCCTCGGCAGCAGCGCCCACATGCAGCCGGTCCGCTGCCCTTAACTGCCTCTCGCTCTCCCCTCTACGCCCCTGTGCGCCTGTTTGGGCACCTTGTGCCACCTCTCCTCTCCTCTCCTCCCCACCCTCTCTCATCAACAACTTCCACACGTGGCTGACACCTCCCGTACGGCTCTCAAGCTCGCGCGCCTCTCACCCGTACCGCATCCCGTACCGCCGCCTTTTCCTGTGCCGCAGGAGGCGGGCATCCCCGCCAAGCTGGCGCCCACCATCGGCATCGCCGTGGACCACCGCCGCACCAACCGCAGCCTCGAGTCCCTGCAGGCGAGTGCTGGGGGCAGTGGGGGGGAGTGGGTGGGTGTGGGTGGCTGGGTGAGGGGAGGGGAGGGGTTGCCGCGGCGCTGCAACGCCGACAGCGCAGCCTCGTGTCCTGCGGGCACGCCGCCCGGCAGCCATGTTGCCGCCTTGCCGTCGGGGGTGCGCTGGCGAGCGGCTGGCCTGCCGCTGCACCGCGCATGCCAGCTGCGCCGCCCCAGCCTGCGCCGCCTCTCACGCCATTCTCCCGCGCTTCCCCCCCCCCTGCAGGAGAACGCCAACCGGCTCAAGGCCTACAAGGCCAACCTGGTGGTGTTCCCGCGCCGCGCCGGCAAGCCCAAGGCGGGCGACGCCAGCGCCGCAGAGCTGGGCACCGCGCAGGTGCGCCGCCGCCCTGCCTTGCTGCCATGCCATGCGCCTGCCATGGGCCTGCCATGTTGGGCCTGTCACGGGCTGTGCGCGACAGCAGCACAGCATCACAAACGGAGCGCGGCGCCCGCCTCGGCCTGCGGCGCGGCCCCCTGGGGTTCGCCCGCTGTTCAGCGCTGCCCGGACTGCCACTCACAGCCTGCCACTCACAGCCTGCTGCTGCGCGCCCTGCGCCCGCCCGCCTTCCCGCTGGTGCAGCAGCTGAAGGGCGCGCTGCTGCCCTTCGTGCCCACGGCGGCAGCTGTGGAGAAGGTGGCGGTGACCGCCGACATGAAGGTGGGCTGCTGGGGCTGCAGCACTGGGTGGATGGCGCAGACGGGGAGGGGAGGGTGATGGGAGGGGAAGGGAGGAGGGAAGGCGGGCGCCGCGTGCGCATTTGCCTCCCGTGCGCCGCCGGGCTGGGGGAGCCGGGCAGCACCGCGTCCCGGCCGCCTCCCTCGCGCTCCTCCGCAGCCTCATTCCCGCCGCCATCCGCGTTCTCCTGCCGCACACTCCATGCTTCACGCGCGCCCTCGCCCATGCCATGCCCGCTGCCGCCCCCCAACCAACAAGTACTGCGTATCCCGCAGAAGGAGAGCGCGTACGGCGTGCTGCGCCTGGAGCGCATGAACAAGCGCATGGCGGGCGTGCGCGCCAAGCGCGGTGAGCGGCTGCCGAGCGCGGCTGGGCGTGGGGATGGGAGGGAGGGAGGGAGGGAGGGAGGGAGGGAGGCCGGGTGGGCGAGGGGAGGAGCGGGCTGTGCTCAAGGATGAGGGCGGCCAGGGGGTGGGCAGCAGAGGGCATGCTGGAGGCAAGGCCCATGCGATGGAAAGCCCCGGGGCAGATGAAGCGGAGCGGCCCGACTGCCGGCCGCTGCCGCCCCCGGCAGCCCACTTATCGGCCCCTCCCTGCCTCGCCTGGTCGCGTGCAGCTGCCGAGGCAGCCGCGGCGGAGAAGGATGCGTAGAGTGGGTCAGCCCGGGGCTCCGCGGTTGCCGGTAGCGCCGGCCCTGGGGCGGCCGCGGCAGCCTGCGGCATGCCGAGCGGCGGGGAGTGGAGCGTCCTTCCCGCCGTGCAGGCCGCGCAGGCCACGCATTCCTGTAACACAACACCTCCAGATGCTGGGCGCGCCTGTGCTGGCCCAGAAGGCCGGCCCTGCTGTGGTGGGGTGGTTGGTCGAGAGAGAAGAAGCTGGTGGGGCGGATCCGGTGCCGCTGAGTGAGGGTCAGCTGCGGCGCCGCTGGCTTGGGGACGAACGCACCGGGTTTGGGGATCGGGCGACCTTCCTCAGGCAAACATAGAGCTCGGGGACGCCCATTATCATACATGGAGCAGAATCAAGATCGGAGAGATGGCCATGGCTGGGCGATGGCACCTGCTGCGACCTGCTGGGGAGGCTGCGCTGAACCTGCCTCGCCTCGGCCTGTTCTGGCCACACAACGTCCGATCCTGCCAACCTGACGGGCGCTTAGCCTCTGTCACGGCAGCCCCAGGCTTTGTGCCCAGCAGCAGACAATTGCTTGGGCCGGCAGGGCCCCCGCCTGTCGCACTCGACTCCAGAATGGGCCAATACTTAGCTACACCCAATACAGAGAAGGAGACGCTGCACGGCAGCCATGAGCGACTGCACTATGGTATTTCGGCGCAGCAGGGCTGGCGCAAGCACATGGTAAGCCTGTAGGCCACCCAGAGGGATGAGTTAGCGGCCCCACACCCGCGGCTGCAGGCCTTGGCCCACACGTCCCGCCTCCACCCCTGTCTCGCTGCAGGAGGACGCGCACATAGCCGAGCACCTCCGGGACGACTGCCACATTTTCGGGGTGTTTGACGGGCACGGGGGACCAGGTGAGCGCGGCGGCGCGGCGCCGTCTATAGGCGCCAGCACGCAGCCCGTGCGCCCGCACTGGTGTGTGCATGGCCACGGAGTGGGCTTCAAAACCAGCCCTGCGCAGCACCCGGCCTGGCAGCACCCGGCTCAGCAGCGGTCTCGCCTTTCATCCCGTGCGTCTCCTGCAGAGGTAGCGCGGTTTTGTTCGCGGCGAATGCCGACCGAACTCCTGCGGCAGCCCGCCTTCCAAGACGGCCGGTACGAAGAAAGCCTGAAGCAGGTGGGCGGCCAGCAGCAGCGACAAGGTCTTGCAAATAGCACAGGTCTAGCTGAAGGCAAGGGGTGGTTCCAGAGAAGGGCATATGCAAGGGGGCCCGCAAGGCCCGCAAGGTAGCGCTGGGCTGCTCCCGCCAATCGTGCCGCGTGGCGGGGCTGTGGGCCTCTGCGCCCAACCACATCTCCCAGCACCCCTTGAGCGGGGGTGAAACCCCGCGTTTGTTTCAAGGCCTGAAACCGCCCAATAAACTGGACCTCGGCACATGACACACGCACTCCTGCGTGCCTGCACTCTTGCCTGCCTGCTCGCAAGGTGTTCCACCGCATGGATGAGATGATGCGGTCCCGGGAGGGCTTCACAGAGCTGGAGGCGCTGCGGAAGGAGGTGGAGGGAGGTGAGGGCCTGATGGGGGGACGGGAGGGAGTCGTCGGTGCACGGGACCTGTTGCTTGGGAGGGGGTGGAGGAGGTGTGGGGCCCGAAGGGCTGGCGTACAGCTGCTTCCTGCTGCAAGTGGGGGGGAGGGCTTGGCTTGGCAGGGAACTGTGTGCAAAGGGTGGAGGGAGGCGAGGCCTGGAGGCGCCTGTGGGGACCCAATGCTGCTCCCCGCCGCACCACGCACGCCACACGCGGCCCCCATCCCGCTGGCCCTGCGTGCCGTCGCCCCACACCCAGCACGGGCAGGGGGGTGCGGGAGGGCGAGGGCGCGGTGATGCAGCACTGGCCCCTCCCCTCCGCTGCGCCCCAGTCCCTTGACCTTCTCTCTCCATGCCTGTTGTGTGTGTGCAGGCAAGGATGGGGAGGCAGAGGAGGAGGACACGTATGACATGCTGCGCAAGCTGGTGCACATGCAGCGCATGGCGGGGCAGCAGGCGCAGGCTGCGGCGGGCGGCAACGGCGGCGGGCCCGGGCAGGTGCGGTCTCAACGGGTCGGGCAGGCCCCTGGGGGGCTGGTGGCAGGCCGTCGCCAGCGGCGCAGCCTGGCCACGCCTGTGCTGCCTGTGCCGCTGGAGGGGGCTCGGGCTAGCGGCAGGACCGCCGCGGCGCAGCAAGCACGGCCCTGCTCTTTCAAAAATGGCCTTTAGCTGGCGCCCCCCGGCCTTTGTGCTCCACACGCACGCGTACCTTTGCCTCTGCTCCTTCGCCTGTCTGCAGGGGGAAGGCGCCAACGGGCAGGCGGCAGCGCCCGAGAGCACGCTGCAGCCAGAGGTCACAGTGCAGGCAAGCGGCGGCTGGCCTGCCTCCCTGCCTTTTGACCCTTGCCCTCCGCCCCCTCTGCCTCCCGCCTCCCCTGCCCTTAACCCCTCCCTGCCTTCGAACTCCCCTTTCCCCTCCCTGCGCTACCTACGCACCTGACCCCAGCCTACCTCCCAGCACCCTATACCCTGCCTGCCTCCCCGCTGCCCTTCACGCAGGCCGGCTGCACCGCAGTGGTTGCGCTCATCATGGGCGACCGCCTGTATGTGGCCAACGCAGGTGGGGTGTCGGGCGGTACAGCAGGGGGCAGGCGGTACAGCAGGGGCAGGGGCGTCGGCAGGGGGCAGGTGCTGCGGCTGGCACTGCAAACGCCCCACACCCTCTCCCTCGCCCAGCACCCCGCGCCGGCCCGGCGCCCCCAGCACGCCCTCAGGGCTGCCCTGCCTTCCTTCCTTTCTTTCTTTCCTCCTCACTGCGTCCCTCTGTGTGTGCACCCCGCAGGCGACTCGCGCGCCGTGCTGTGCCGCGGCGGCCGGGCGCTTGCCATGTCGGGTGAGAGGGTGGCTGTGGCTGGGGGGCGCCGGGATACACGCACACATCCCCTTCCGCGCCGCGCACACTCTCTCCACACACACACATGCACCACACACACTACACACACACACACACACACACACACACACACACACATGCACACCATGCACGCTCTCTCTCTGCATATGCACACACTTCACATTCTCTCTGCCACCCCCCACACACACATGCAGAGGACCACAAGCCGGCGGCGCCCGACGAGCGCGCGCGCATCATGGCGGCGGGCGGCTTCCTGTCGGAGATCGGCGGCATCACGCGGGTGGGGGGCAGCTGCCGGGCAGCTGCCGGCAGTACCATACCGCTGGGCAGGGACCCGCCCTGCACGGGGGCTCCCCGCGGCGCCCCCGGCGTTGCACCTTTCCAAGCACGAACACACGCGGCCACAGCAGGCGCGTCTGAACAGCAAGGAACCGCCTTCCACTTCTCAGCCGTGCGTACTGCTCCCCCCGTCCCCGCAGGTCAACGGCAACCTCAACCTGTCCCGCGCCATCGGCGACCTGCGGTACAAGATGAACAGCGAGGTGCGGTGCGGGGCGGTACCTTCCAGGGCAGCCGCCCGGCAGGAGGCGGCCTGGCCGCGCCGCCGCCGCCACGCGCGCGCACCTCGCATCGCCTCCTCTCCGCTGCCCGCGCCCGCCAATGCGCGCCACCCCACGTGCCTCACGAGAAACAGACTTGCCCCCAAACCGTCCCAGCCCCCCGTAACCACCACCACCACCACCACCACCACCTGTGCCTGCGCGTGCCCTCTGCGCCTGCGCCTTGCCCGCAGCTGGAGCCCAAAGACCAGATCATCACCGCGGAGCCAGACGTCACCTCCGCCCGCCTCACCCCCGAAGACGCCTTCCTGGTGCTGGCCTGCGACGGCATCTGGGACGTCATGACCAAGTGAGCGCTGGTATCTTACAGGCTGGCGGCGGCGGCGGCGGCGTGCGCTGTGTGTGTGTGTGTGTGTGTGTGTGTGTGTGTGTGTGCGCTTGGTCCCTGTGGGTGCCGCGGACGTAGAGGGTGGTGTGGCGGGCGGTGGGCCGGCCCAAGGGATGTGCAGCCTGGTGGGGGCAGCAGGGCGCGCAGGCTGGGATGGCCTCGAACCTTGACGTGCCGGCCCCTGTCGCCCACACACACACACATGCCGCCGCCGACGCCGACGCACCCTCACCCCCAACCCCCTGCCTCCCGGTGCGCTGCTCCCGCCGCGCCTGCAGCCAGCAGGTGGTGGACTTTGTGGCGCCGCGCCTGGCCGGCGGCGCGCCCCCGCACGAGGTCGCCAGCGAGCTGCTGAACGCCTGCCTGGCCAACGACCCTCGCGAGGCGCGCGGCATCGGCTGCGACAACATGACCGCCGCGGTGCGCTTTGGGGATCGTGGGGTGGGGTGGGGTGAGGTGGGGTGGGGTGGGGTGCCTGAGTGGGGGAGGGGGGAGGAGCAGCGCGGCATCGGATGCACATGCTGCACGTTCTGCGTCTGCCCGTCGCCAGCTGCCTGTCGGGCTGGGTGGTGGTGGTGTGGGGCCGGGTGCGGGGTGGGGGTGGGGGTGGGGCCCCCCCCCCCCCCCACACTCTCCCTGGTGGTCGGCTAAACCTTCTGCCTGCTCCGCGGGTGGTGGGGGGTGGGGGGTAAGCCACGTGGATGGATGTATATTCATCCAGTTTACCAGTCTGGTAATGGTGCCACGGTTGTTCCAAGAGACCTGCATGCCCTTGGCGCCTGCCCCCACAGATTGTCGTCTTGCATGCGCGTGACGCCTCCAAGCTGGTGATGGGCGGCGGCAGCTGCTCCCGCGGCGCGTTCCTGGAGCAGCATGCATCCGGCGGCGGCAGCAGCCAGGGCGGCGGCGGCGGCGACACAGCCATGAAGGAGGCCACGCCGCCGCCAGAGGGGCACCCGGCAGGCGCCTCCGCGCCCGCCGCGGGAGCCGGGGCAAAGGCGTGAGGCGGCCGGCGGCCTCCCTGCCACGGCCGACGACAACATGCGGCGCGGGCAGCATCAGTGACAGCAGGAGCGGCAGCAGCCAGCCGGTGACTCAGCCCATTCACCCTTCTGCACCTGGCTGGCTGCCGGCAGCGCTTCTGTGGTCCCCTGACCCCCTCGGCGTGAACGCATTCATCGCTGCTGCTACTGCGGAACATGCTGGCTTCTGGCCGCTGCTGCCGCCCCCAATGTACACAATTTCGCACGGCCTTTTTTTGCCTCTCCTCCAGAATTTGCGTTTCTTGTTTGCCCATCCCTTTCTTTGCGTTTGCCGCTGCCCGCTGACGAAGCTGAATCGATCGAAACACACAACATGAGGCATCACACACTGGTGGTCGCATGCAATAAGCAGGATGGCTTTTTGGCCTTGCTAGTGCACCTGGGGCCCGGCTGTGGCAGTGGGTCTTGGTTGGGAGGGGCCCACCATGAGACAGCGACTCTGCATCCCTGCTGGGTGCTGCGCCTGCCCCACTGGGTGCTTCTCCCTTTTCTTTCAGCCTCCCACAGCATTCATCTGGGCACATCCCACTCAAGCAGCGTGATGGACGGCCCGCCAGGTGCCGCTGGCGGCAACCAGGCATGCGCGCCGCATGGGGCGGCGGTCGATGCTGACTCGCATCTGACAGTGCAATGTGCCCTCTCGGTCCGCCCTTCGCCCTGCCCTTCGCTTTTGGCTGCTTTATCATCCACCAGAGCTACCAGGGATGGCGGAGGAGGAGTCGCCGATCCAACACGGGCGAGTGCTCAACCATCGCAAGCGGGCGCGCCTGGCCAGGCTTGGGCCCCTGATCGGTGAGCCCTGCGCATGCAATGTCGCTGAGCAACTGCGTGCGGGCAGCCCCTGGGCCCAGTGGCCCCGAGGACTCGGTGCTGAACGCGGGTACGGGTTCTCATCTATTACGGCCCAGGAGGATCCTGAGACACTCTCGAGCAGCCAACACGCGAGGGAAGCCGAGCCAAAGCCGCTTGCCCCGCCCCACCCTCCCCGCCCTCCCCACCGCTCCAACTCCCGCCCTGCAGACCGCCCGCCCCCAGAGGCGCAGTTCCCGCAGGAAAGCGTCAACCAGGGGGACCTGACCAGCCCAGCGCAGCAGCTGCCCAGGGCCACACCTACCGAGCCGCCGCCGCAGCCGCAGCGCCAGTCGGTCACCGGCAGCTGGGTGCGGCGGATGGTGGCGGAGGTGAACGAAGCCGCCCCGCCGCTAGTAGTGGGGCGGCACACGCCATCCCACCGTGACGACGTGGCGGCGGCGGCGCTGCAGACGGCGCAGCGGCACATGGCGCAGCAGCAGCAGGGCCAGAAGCAGAGCGGCGGTACACGCAGCGGAGACGGCACGCTCGGCGGCGGCGGCAGCGCGGTGCAGCACCCGCCTGCGCGGCACCCGCTCGGACAACAGCAGCTGCAGCAGCCGCAGCAGCCCCAGCAATCCACAGCCCTCAGGATGTTCCACCTGGCGGCCAAGGGGGCGGCGCAGGCACAGAGGCGCGCCAGCAGCCGGCCCGGCGCTGCCGCCGCTGCCGGGCAGCATCCAGCCCTCGCCCACCTGCCCGCGCCACGTGCCAAGCCCCAGCCCGCAGCCACCGCGCCGGCGCAGCTGGGCCCTCACCAGCACCAGCACGCGCTGCCACTGTTGCTGCCCCTGCTGCAGCTACCGCAGCCGCCACGGGTGCAGGCGAGCGTGAACCAGGCGGGACCTCCTGGCGCCATGCCGCCGCCGCCGCCACGGGCGCCGCGCTCGGCAGCCGCCACCGCCGTGCTCTCCGCAGCTGGCCCCAGCTGGGACCGCCCCAGGCTGACGGCGGGCGCTGTGGACGCCGCCCGTGCTGCCATCTCCGGTGGTCAGCCCGAGACGGTGCTGCCGCTGCTGGTGCAGGCGGCGGCGCAGCGCGGGGCGGAGGAGGCGGGGCTGAGCCTGGAGCTGCTCTGCGCCCACCAAGCCAACTTTGAGGCCTTGAATCCCGTCGCCAGGGGCTCGCGGGTGGGTGGAGGGCAGGCCCAGGGCGGGTGGTGGTGGTGGTGCAGGGACCCTGCATTGGGCAGGCCGCAGCGGTGCAGGAGGCTGGCTGTGCGGCTCGTTAGCCCACCTGGGCATGTGCTGCGCAGCATGCTGGCCGCAGCGGTACCGGTGCAGGAGGCTGGCTGTGCGTCACCAGCTGGGCCAACGCGCCACGTCACCCAGTCAGCACCCACAGCCGGCACCGTCTGCCGCGTCCCCCTGCCGCCGCACGCCTGCAGGCTGTGTCCCTGCTGGAGCTGCTGCGCAGTGCACCGTTTTCCATGCTGGCGCATTTCCTGAAGAACATGTGCAAGTGCTACGGGGTGCGCGTGGCGGCTGTGGCGACGGCGAACTCGGGCGGCAGCGCGCCGGCCTGAGAGGCAGCGCGCCGGCCTGAGCGGCCCGCAACCCTCGCTGCTGCGTCCCCGCCGCATGTGTGCATCCCGGCAGTCGGCAGGGGTGCAGAGACGAGCTGAGCGGGGGCGCAGGGGCCGCCCCGCCCAGCCAGCCATGCCAGCAGGGGCGCCCCTTCGCCTCCTACCCCTGCCGGCACCTTCACACTCGCATCAAACATACATGACAAATGAATGGCCCCCCTCGTGAATGCAATGCTGGTCTTATTCTCGGATGCCCATGTATACCCTGTCACTCCGAGTGCCAGAGTATGGGCGGCGGCGCTGTCAAATTGGCAGCTGCCGCCTGTGCCCCAAACCACCTCGCTCGCTACTCAACTCATCCATGCCAGTGTGTTCCTCTGGAAGCGCAGCTTCTCTGCTCAGGAGTGCTCAGATAGGCTGAGCTCGAAGAGCACGCCGGTCCCATGCAAGTTGCACCTCGCATTAAAGCACCCGGTGCTTAAGCGGGCCGTCTTTGTTCATTTGTAAACGGTCTGCGTTCTTTTCAGATCGAGCCGGGGGGTTGCACGTACAGTAAGCATCGGCGGTACAACACTATGCCTGCCTTCCGTGTGGGTTCGACGCGGCTACTGAATTGGCCTTGGGAAGTAGGCAGCGCGCCCTGTTGAGGGGGACAAGGGGTTGGCATGGACTCGCGCAACTTGCGTCAGAACAGGCTGAACAGACCTTGTCCGGTCGCGAAGGTGCGCGTTGTGCCGTGCGTCGGGGATGGCAGCCGAGTGGGTGGGGCGGGGTGCCCCCGCCGCCGCCGCCGCTCACCTCGCCACGCCCTCGACGAGCACTAGTCACGCGGGGTGCTGCCTGCTGGCGCCACGCTCTCTCTCTCTCTCTCTCTCTCTCTGGATTGAGTGTAAGGGCACAGTAAGAGCGAATACGTCCTCTCAATGTCTTTGCGTGCAGGCCGGCTCGGGGTGGGCCAAGCCCTGCCTGTGGACGGCGGCCGGCGGCGTGCTGATGGTCACGCTGCTCACCGCCGCAGCGGCGGCCATGGGCCTGGTGGCCCTGCAGGGCGCAGCGAGCACCGTCAAGCTGCGGGTCGGCGGCCACGCGCTGACGCTCTCGCTCAGCCGCGAGGCTCCAACAAGCGCAAGCGGCAGCAGGGGCCGCATCTGGGGCGCGGCCGGCTCCACCAGGGGCCTGCCCTGCCGGGCCAGCGGCTACTGCAGCCTGGGCAGATCCAAGGTGTGGAGGGGGGATGTCGCAACCAACCGGGCGCTGCAAGCGATGCTGAAGGCTGTGACTTACAAGAAGGAGGTGGGCCGGTGTGTGGGCGGCGCTGAGTGGGTGGCTGGTTGGTGCCAGCGCGGTTGCAGGAGCAGCAGCTACTTGCAGGCTGCCAGCGCATGGCCGGCCGGCGGCAGGTGTCCGGGAGCCCGACCACCCGTGCTGCCCGCTGTGTGCGCACGTCCGTGCACGGGCGGCGGGCCGCGGCAGACGTGCTGCCTCGTGCCCCCTTGCTTGTGCCGCAGCTCATCGTCGTGATGAGCTCCCTCACCGGCTTCCATCGGGAGCTGGCTCTGAATGCCCTCCAGTCTGCTGAGGCGCTAGGTGAGCACGGGACTTGTGCTAGCGCAAGCCGGTCGGGCGCCTGGCGCCTTGCCTGCCGGGGAGCTGGCTGCCGGTTCAAAGGGCGCCTGGGGAGGTGCCTGGTCGGGGCCCTGGAGCCCGGCGCAGAGCGCAGATGCCGGGGAGGCCTGCCGGCGGGGCCGCTGCCAGAGTGCTGCAGCTGTGCCCGCCGCCGACGACCCGCAACCACCTCCTCGCCTGTGGCGCCCTCCTCGCAGGCTATGGGCATCATGTTCTGCTGGCGCCGCAGTCCGCCGGGTGCGACAGGATCCCGCCGCCGTTTGCCGCCACCACCAGCTGCGTGTGGGACTCCCGGCCCATCGTGCACGTCAACGAGGTGTTCAATAGCTTCTACAGGCGCTGGTGGGTGGCGTGTGCCGGGGCCAGCTGGGCGGGCGGCGGCGCGTGGCACCCTTTTGTGCGGCTTCGGAAGCCTGCAGCCTGGTCTCAGTTGCCAGTGCGGTGTTTGGCGGCGGGGTGCTGTTGGGAGGGCTGCGCACACAGGCAGAGGGGCGCAGCCCACACCTCTGGCGGCGGCTGCACTGTGGGGGTGATGGCGGCGCCAGCCTGGCGATGCGTGGCTGGCCTGGGATGGGCCGGGCTGGGCTGGGGCAGCCAGGGGCAGGAGCTGAAGGCAGCGGAGCAGCCAGGGCGAGTGGCTTGCTCTCACCTCGCCTCTGATCCCCGCCGTTGCCCTGTGACACCCTGCTGCCTGCGGCGCAGGGACTTGTATGCTCGTGTCGTGAGGATGGGCTACAATGTCCTCTCCCTGGACTCAGGTTGGCTGCCGGCTGCCCTTGTGTGGGCCTGGCTGCTGCCCAGCCTGCAGGCCTGCCCACACGCTGTTCTGCTTTCCTTGTGTTTGGAAGCTCACAGCCTGAATCTCACCACGGGCAGGCGTGCAGCACACACGCACTTTGTGGCTCTCAACAGAGCTGAGTCAAAGGCAGCAGTAGAGCAACATGGTTGCTTCTTTCTTTCCTGGCGCAGATACCATGATGGTGGCGGACTTCTATTCCTTCGTCAAGTCGCCGCCATTCTCCCACTACCATGCCCTGTTCACGATGGATGGTGAAGGCGAGCGGGGCCCCATGATTGCCAGGAGAAGCAGCTGTGCTGCTTCTGCTGTTGATGCGCAACCTTGCGGCGGCGGCAGCAGCAGGCCGGCCCGCTGTCGCCGACGGGCCCAGCGCCAGCGCGGTTCCTGACGCTCGCTGCCGGCTGCCCGGCTTTGCCTGGCTTTGCTCCACTCTGCAGGGGTCAGCTGTGGGATCGTGTACACACAGAATGCACACCCCTCGGGCCCCACGGTGTGGATGGCGGTGGAACATGCCTACCGCACAAGCAGGTGAGGGGCAGATGCAGGGGGCACTGGCTCTGCCCAGATCAGGCGGTGCCGGCTGTCCCCCGCATACCTCTCTCCCCACCTCCACCGCCAGTTCATGTGTTGCGTATGCATGCCATCTACCCCCTCCAGCCCTAGAGGCCTCTCCTCGCTCGACGACCCGCCGCCGGCCCGGCTGCAGGCAGCGGGAGAACATGACGCACATGCAGGCGCTGTACAAGGGCTGGACGGAGGCAGACACCTGGGAGCAGCTGATGTGGAACCAAGTGGTGGGGAGGGCAGCAGAAGGGTGTCGCTGCCGTGCCGTGCCGCTGCCTGCGCGGTGCCGGCCCTGCCGTTGCTTCTGGCCCCTGCCCGACGGTGCCCGCTCGTCTCCTGCCTGCCCGCACCCACAGCTGGCCACCGTGATCCACGGCCGCCCTTTCCACCACCTGTGGGAGAAGACGCCTGCGGAGTGGAGGCAGGAGTGGCAGCTGCAGGGATTCAAGCTGTGGGAAAACAAAACGCTGGACATCGAAGTCACCTGGCCCGCAGAGTGGCGGAATGTGAGTGGCGCAGCTGCAGCGAGCCGGCTGCACGTGCGCGCGCGCGTGCGTGCGTGCCACGCCTGCCCCGTGCAAGCAGCCAGCGCTGCACGGCAGGACCGTGGCACATCATGGCATGGATGCGCGAGGGCAGGCTGCGCTGACTCCCACTCTCCCTGCGGTTGCGGCGCAGGTCTCGGGGGTGGGCCAAGGGCTGCTGCGTGTGGTGGACAACCTGGCACTGCCTGTGGTGGAGGATGCCTGGTGGCAGCGCCACTCCCAGTACTTCTACCCGCCCAGCCCCGGCAACGTGTCTGCCCAGTTTCTGGAGGTGTGCCCGCCTCAGCCACGCTCGCCACCATGCCGCGTGCCCGCCGTTTGCTGGCTACCGCCATGGCTGCCACCTCAACTCGCTCCTCCTCAGTGCCAGGTGGCCCCTTGGCAGCGGCTGCCAATCAGTGACGTGACAGCCGCGCCTGTGGCTGTGCCTGCATGCAGCTCATCCACTCCTCATCGGATCAGCCGTTGTACGAGCCGGGCAAGCCCTGGGCGCCCCCGGCGGACCTCCCGCAAGAGCATTTTGCCTTCCTCCCGGGGTGGTTTGCCCATGGCTACATCGGCCGTGGCAATCTGGGGTACTGGGACATCAAGCCGCCCGCGGCGGTGAGCTGCCGGCCGGCCTGCCTGCCTGCCTACCAAACGGATGCTGCAGGCTGCAGTACTGACACTAGTGTCAGGTCACATTGCATGGCGGCGGGACAGAGTCGCGGAGTGGCAGCAGAGCCAGTACTGGCGGCAGCCTGCACGACGTCGGTGGCATTGTGCCGTGGCGTGCGTGCGTGCCAACCCCCGCCTGCCAGCCCTCTTGTTTTGGCGGTTCCGCAGGTGATTCTGCACAATGTGTGGATGCCAGGAGCCGTCGTGTGGAAGTCGTACCCCTACAAGGCAGCGGGCCTGTAAGCTCTCCGCCGTGCCTGCGTGTATCCTGCTTGCCCGCCTGTGCCTGCCTGTCTGCCCGCTGCTGATGGTGCTCGTCAGTGCCTGCCTGCCTGTGCCTGCGCCTGTCCCTGCACCGCCCTCCTGCTAGCGCCCTCCTGCTAGTGCTCTGCCCTGCATGCTGCCCCACTGCTGGCATGGCCTCGCTTCCTGGGTCGGCCATCACCCGCTGCCACCCGCCGCCACCCGCCACCTGCCATAGGTTCCATTGGGAGGTGGCAGAGGCGGTGCGGGGCCACAACCTGCTGGGGCTGGCCGACCCCAAGCTGCTGATGCTGGCGCCCGGGGTGCAGCTGTTTGCTGAGACGGAGCAGGCCTTCCTAGATGCAGTCCAGCAGGTGAAAGGGAGTGCAGTACATATGTGCAGTACATGCATGCCACGGCATGGCTGATCAGCAGAGTCCTGGTGGTGAGGGGCCAGCACGGGTCGAGTAGTGGCAGCGGCAGCTCTGGGCAGCCGGGGAGGCGGCAGCGCTGAGCCCTTGCCGCTGCCACGCAGCTGCCGCACGGCCAGGGATGCAGCGGCATGTTGTGGCGCTGGGCCGGGGAACGCGCATATGTCGGAAGCCATATGGCCACATGCATATTGTAACGTCCGTCGTGTGCCGCCGACGCGTGCTGCTGCTCCGCAGCTTGTGCGGCTGGCGGGCATGATGGGGCGGCAGCTGGTGATGCCCAACCCGCCCTGCCACAGCGTGTGGGTGGGCCTCGCCAGGAACCTAGAGTACCCGCACCCCTGGCTGCCGCTCTGGAAGTACCACTACGACGTCTTCCAGGCAAGCTGTGGCGTGGCGTCCTCCTGGTGCCTATGCCTTGCAGGGAGGAAGCAGGCTGAGATCCATCCACCTGAACCTCTGGCTCGGCATTTCCAGGACACACCGCTGCTCTCGCTGTTTCTCACGGGGCCACATCCGATGCGCTGCTGCTGTGTGGGGCCTGGCGGCCATCCAGCTGGCTGCCTGGATTCAAAGGGTACAGCGTGGACTTTCCTTCTTCCTCGCTGCAGGTCATCCAGCTGGCAGACGCCACGCAGCCAGGCGGCAACGCCACCTACTGCCACTGGCTGCGCGGCCTGACAGCCAAGTGCATGGCGGCGGTGCCACCCCATGCCGACGCCCTCGCTTTCTTGGATCGCTGGAAGGATCGCGGACAGGCGGCGCCCAACAAGAACAACACGCTATGGCATGCTGAGTGGCAGGCTGCGGGGGGCGCCGCAGGGCCGCCGCCCAGGCCACCCGCCGCCATCACCACGCCGCAGCCCCAGGTTGCAGTGCCCGACGCCGAGGCGGTGGTGGCGGCAGCTGCTGCATTCACCACCTGGCCGGTGCTGTTCCTCGGGGCGGTGCCTGTGCTGGGTCGCACTGACACGCTGCAGGGGCTGGATGAGGTGCACAAGGGGTGCGAGCTTTTTGCAGACCAGCCCCCCACGCTGGAGCCTTACGATCCGGCAGGCGTTAGCGATGCAAGGCAGAGGTGGCTGAACGGCACGCTGTGACCCAGCACATCATGGTTTTCCAGCTGTTGTTGGTGCACTTGATTTCATTACGCCTGAATTACTGCCAGCTGGCGCCGTTCCCAGCGACCACCTTGAACACCACAGCCGTTGAGATTTCCTGGCAAACAAACTTCCATTCTTGGCTGTTGCCAACCGCTGCTGGGCGGCGAACCATTTCATTCATGGTGCATGTATTACTTGTTGAATTCCAACTTATTGGCGTTGTCGCCATTTGCTCCTGTGCATGGCGACAGCCACCTCAGATTCTCAGAGCTCAAAGCACAGGGGAGGCAAAGCGGGCACCCCGACTGTTATCGGGTAACTGGCTGGAGATGACAGCCTGGGCATGCATATGGCGCTGTCCCCCTCGCCCGAGCGAGATCCCACTGACCACAGGGTCAAATTCGGGCAGGCATGGAGCCTTTGCACAGCCCAGACAGCGGACAGCCTGGGCAAAACACAATAGCGGCTGGATGCTGATGAAAAGCGGTATCTTCAGAGGTGGTGGGTTAAACGTTACGGCACAGAAGCAATCCTCAGCCGGCCAGATAAAAACTGCTACAGGGCTTCGTTCCGTGTGCTGTGCACACGCCGGTTGTTGGCTTGCAGGGGGGCTCCATTGTCCCAGTGCTGCTGGTGACGCCCCCCCTCGCCCAGCCGGCGGCGAACCTGCTGCTGCTTTATTTGCGGGTCCTCATGCGCCCACTTGCATGCAGCCATCCATTCCTTCCACCCCTGGTCTGCCTCGCCCTCCTCCGGTCACGAGCCGGGCGTGAGGTCGGGGATGGCATCCAGGCAGAGGATGTGCGGCGCATCCTTCTGCTTGGCCGCCTCTGCTGTCGCTGCCAGGCTGGCGCCCTTGGGCGCGTGCTGCTGCTGCTGCTGCTGCTCCTTGGGGGCGTAGTCCCCTGCAAGCATGCGGCTGCGGCGCTTCGGGGCGCCTGCTGGGCTCCCTTCCTGCGCCTGCTTCTCGCCGCCTCCTTCCTCCGCCTTGGCCTTTGCCGCATCCACCCCCCCCTGCTCCTGCCCCTGCGCCGGCGACAGCCCCCCCAGCTGCACCGTGTTGTCGCCACTGGGCTGGCCGGTGCCCTCCGGCAGGCGCCGCACCAGCTCCTGATAATCCAAGTGAACGATGTACCTGCCCGCCATGCAATCAGGGCCAACCGCAGGCCACCAGGTGCAGCGCTGGTCATCGTCCAGGTCGTAAATGAGCAGCTGCAGAGGAAGAAGGGAGGGGTGGCGTAAGGGGAGCTCCCTCTTGAGAGCCGGATCAGGGTGGGTGCATACACGGCACCAGCATGCAGACGGTCTGCGCCTCCACACTCTGCCCTGCTGCGCGGGGCCAGTGCAGAAAAGGAGGAAAGGAAGCAAGGCTCACCGCTTCTATGTCCAAAAAGCTCTTGCGGTGGCCTGGCGGCGCCTGCTCCTGCTGCTCGCCAAACCCCAGCTGCACACCAGCAGCCCGCCGCGGCGGCCAGTGGCGCTCATCAGGACAGCCAGCGTGGCAGAGGCAGGCAGGCAGGCCGTAGTGCAGTGCAGCACGGCCCAGGCAGACCAAGTCCCAGCCAGCCCAGCCCTCCCACCTCACCCAGGTGGCGTTGCAGATGGGGTCTGGCAGCAACAGCAAGCGCCCCAGGCGGCCCGCCAGCCGTACCAGCTGCAGGAGCTTATTCCTGCAGCAGGTGGCAGACAAAGGGCATGGGAGAGCATGCCTGCAGGCGGCTGCCTGCCAGGCAGGGACAGACTGGGGATGCAAGCCGCAGGCAGCCCACCACCCGCACCTGTACTCTAGCGCCGTTTCACTCGGCAGGCTGATGCCGGGCAGCAGGGCCAGCACGCGCGGCAGCGGAGCCTCGGGCGTGGCGGCCGGGAACAGCTGGCCGCGCAGGGCCTGGGGGGGGGGGGGAAGGAGGGAGGGGGGTTGGGAGCGGGAGCCAACAACCTCAGCAGGGCCGCCGAGAATGAAAGGCGGAGCGATACATGTACAAGGTGCAGCAGACGGCACGGAATGGTCGAAAGCAAGCAGCACGGGCGGGCGGCAGCTGATGCCAGCCAAGGC